ATTTGAACAGAAATTTCGCGTCTCCTTTATAATTCGTTTTTATGATAACAATTTATTGCAAGTATAGTATTTTATTGTTGATAGATAAAGCCTCTTTGCGTCCTTCAGAAATAAATAGTCATGGCTGATTCTGAAAATACGGAAAATGTCCAACCAACGGAGTCAGAAAATCCAACAGGCGAAACAGAGGTAGTAAACACACCCGAAGAATCAGGGGTAGAAAACACAACAGAAGGTACGGCGGCAGAAAGCACACCAGAGACTGAAACCCCAGCAGCAGAAACCGGGGTGGAAAAAACGGACGAGGAAACACAGGCAGAAAAAACGGAAGAAGAAACACAGGCAGAAAAAACGCCAGAGGAAACACAGGCAGAAAAAACGGAAGAAGCAGGAGCAGGAACAGAAGAAACGGTAGATGCAACAACAACAATAGTTGTAACAAAGGCAGAAAGCATTGAAGAAGCTGGTGACGAACAGGCTGCAAAAGCAACAGAAAATGCAAAAGAGGAAAAGGCAGATAATGATCAGGCATCTAATGGTAAATATTTAAACTTGACAATATAAGTCAAACAAAAACTACATACACATTTCTCGAAGCCAAATTGAAACGAAAAACTATGAGTAATGGATAAGGGTTCGGGGCGGGGCGGTGAAGCATAAAGATCAATCAATTCTAATAGGTTTCGTATGAAAACAGGCAAACAAGTCAGTACGAAACTGATATGGAGTCAAACCACGGCATCCATCTATGATGAAAGTACACGGTATAGCAGCCGCCTGTTTCACGAAATAAATGAAAATGCAATATGTACGAGCTAGCCGTTCTTGTTATAATAGTTCAAAAAAAGATGGTGAAAGATGAATATATTAAAAATTTCAATTAAGTTACTCTGGGTGAAGTTATCAGAGACTGAAGTCTCGGTTGTCAAGTACCATTGTTACGGTAATGAACCAAGTCTCGATTATCCAATTTAACGTTCAATATCACGGTCATCCGATGGTCTAGAGGGTTGACTAATTATTAATATATATAACATTGAAGTCCAAACAAAAAGGTGGATCACATGGCTAAGTGGGTAAGAAGCTGGTTCGCTAGCCTGGAGGTCGGGTGTTCGATCCCTGCATTGGCCGAGAAAGTTCATCCAGATTTTCCGGCGGGGTTCCCCCTTGTCAGTGATGCAGGATGGAGGGCCTGACAAGGTCAGCTGTCTAGTCGTTCGGATGGGACGAAAATCCGAGGTCCCTTGTAAAAATTGGCGTGCACGTAAAAGATCCCTTGGCAGTTGGAATTCGATATAAGAGTAGGCCGTAGCGCCGCTGCCCGGGCAAAATTTCCCTCATAGCACACTGTATGGCGTATGCCCGTCTTCATTAGTCCAATTTGGGAGCAAAACAGTAGGACGTTAAACCCCATTTCATTTTATTTCCAAACAAAAAGAGACCTGCCATAGACAAATTTAGCTCTTACATAATGCATCTTTAAATAAGACCAGTAGGAGTATATGGTACAGTGGAATTAAAAATGATGAATGTGAATTTCGACGGATATTCTCGAATTTTAACGTTCTCTGTTTAGAATACTTATCAGGAAGGGTCCCCATCTCAGAAACAAAAAATACCACTATGTAACAGAAATCCTTAAACATACATTATGCAAGAGCTAAATCTGCCTATTGCAGGTCTTTCTTTGGGCCTGAATTGTTATCTAAATTATTAATTAGACATTAATTAACTTATCCAGACCATAATCAACTCTCGATGTCATCGCTAGCCTGCTATATTTACTGGATTGGAATCCGATCTGCTGCTCAACGCTCATTGATGATTAAATCAAAAACTAGTTAATCAAGGCTATGTTTTTTATCGTACCGACTTTAGTAATGATGATCGAGGCTAGGCCTAAAATTCAATCGCTAAATTTTCGGTTCAGAGTAGATCAGTTTGACTGAAATTTTCAGCAAATTCTCTTTACATTATCTAATTTTTGACTATTATAATGAGAACTGCTAGCTCTTTATCTAATCTCCCATAAGGTATCTTTAATGTTGTCTACTTCTTTTCTTTTTCAGATCAACCTCCAAAGGCTGCAAAAAAATGCATCACATGTTCCGTTTTATAGTTTCAAAATGTGATATAAACTTTTTCTTCGTTACTGTTTATTCCGTGAACATTACAACTTATATAAACATCAGTATTATATTCACCACTTTGTTATGTTTGCTATGATAATATTAACTGGAGCAGTGATTATTATAAACTATAGGGATATTTCAGTAGCAGTTCTTCTTCAAAATAATTAAACTTCTAATAAAATATTGTTATAGAATTATTAAAGTGTTTGGGTAAATGATGTTATTAACATGAACAATAACTGTGGTGCATTGGTGACCATTCCACATGCAACGCAGAAGTATATTTTTTTAAAATGTTGATATGCAATGAAACATACAACTAAAGTCGTTCGTACAATATGTCCCCTAGCTAGCCCCCATCTATGGCAGATACTTTACTACTATGCTATTGCAATTTGTTTATCTAAATTTTCTATGGTCAACCTCTTACAAGCATCAATTGGAGCAAGATATTTCCGGGTGTTGCCTCACCTGTGATGGACAGCGTTCGTCCCCACGTAATTTCGGGTAAAAATTCGATTCCCTGGCAGAATATTTAGTGGTCCGTATCCAGATGTAAAACGGTGTTATCCCCTTTTAACTACTCACGTCTCCTCTCGTTTCTTTTCAGCCGATAATGGCATAATATCAGGGAAATCCAAATCGGAGCAAGTACTCCTTGGGGACTACAACTCTTGAAAGAAAAATAGCCATTGGACAATTCAAGATACCGGCCATTTCAAGACGGACAACGAAATAACCTTGTCCTATTTTAAATTGGACCGAAATTGTGGGCACCAGAGTGTACACAAACTTTACAACGTCAACGGGGTTTTAATAATCAATGACCCTTAACGGAAATGAAATGAAATGAAATGGGACTTTAACGTCCTACTGTTCTGCTCCTAACCTGGGCTACTGAAGACGGGCATACGCCATACAGTGTGCTATGAGGGAAATTTTGCCCGGCAGCGGCGCTACGGCCTACTCTTATATCGAATTCCAACTGCCAAGGGATCTTTTACTTGCACGCCAATGTGTACACGGGACCTCGTTTTTTCGTCCCATCCGAACGACTAGACAGCTGTCCTTGTCAGGCCCTCCATCCTGCATCACTGACAAGAGGAAACCACGCCGGAAATTCTGGATGAACTTTCTTGGGCAATGCAGGGATCGAATACCGGACGTCCAGGCTAGCGAGCCAGCGTCTTACCCACTTAGCCACCGTGATCCCCCGACCCTTAACAAACACCTATGCATATTCTGAATTAAACGATTGTTACAGTTATCTGCTTCCACTCTGGTGGATTAATTCTCACCAGAAGGGCAAAAGAATATGCATCACAGCAACTGTCATGGTTATGTTCTGGTTAGATCTATTTCATAAGGCCAAGTTCAAGTTTGGTCAAAGGTCAAAAGATGTAAACAGGCTTAGCGCTAATTCTAACATTGGACCTTATTGATTAAGTAGGCCCTATTCATTGTATTGTTTTGTTGTTTACTCACTTATTACTTTTACATAGATCCATAGTAATTTTTCTATTTAGGAGAGAGGTAATATGCCTGTTCCTCAATCCCTTTCAATTTCTGAATCAAATATTGTTTGAAAAAAAAAAATGCACAAAAAAAACTGGGCCTAGCCCTAACCTACAACCTCGCCAACAATCATGTGCCCTAACCTTATTTAGCCTACATCTCAGTGACCTTGACGGAATCTTGAGTTGGCCTTATATAGATCTAGGCCTAGCCTTATCTTATGGTATTATGAAACAGAGCCATTATCACCTGTGATATCGCCCTTGATGGAAGCAGAGGTCAAGACACAGAACAAATGGCACACTTACCAGGTTTGGCTGAGAAAGTTACATGTGGTTATTCCCCTTGTATAAGTCAGTAGTGCAGACGATGGGCCTGGCAATGTATAGTATCTAGTCTTATCAGTATGACGAAAAGGTCCTACTAGTAGTGTAGCCTACATGTAAAACAACCCTTGCCCTTGGCGAAAAGTAGGGATTGATTAAGATAAAACCATAGTGACATTTTGGAGTTGCATGTCCTTATCATTATTTGATGGTGGCTTCGTTTTGCCAAATTGCCAAAACAGCCAAGTGTGTCTTTTTGATCGAGAAGGGAGGCTTCTGTAGTCCTGATTTATATTGGAACGAATTAAAATTTATTATATCTACTTATAAGCAATTTTCTCTTCTGGTTTTACTTCGGACATGTTTTTTTTATATAAAACCATGCCATACTGAGAGGGCATATATCAGCCATTTAATGAAAGTCATAAATAGTTTTTAACTCATTAACTTTGGGCAATAATTTCTTTTAGGGAAATTTCATTCTTCAAGACTGTAGCCATAACCTATAAAATATTGGTATGAGGTGCATAAAATTATATTGGAATATTCCTCAAGATTTTAACCTGGCAACAAAAAATTTTCTTTCTATGTGGATCAGTAAAGCTTGTGGAAATCGTAAAACTTCAAATATCATAAATTACCTAAACTACATGCCGGACAAAGTCATGGTCCAGGAAAAAGGGGTTGTAATAACGTCTTATCATTTTGGGACTAGCAGTTTATTTCACTAATTCTCTGGCATAAAGGGGTTCTTAGCTGTGTGAGGAAATAGAGAAAAATACACAAGTTTGGACGACGACCCTACTCCTTGCCTCATACAAGCGGGGAATTGAAACCACACAACTTGACTCAATGTCAGACCGTATGATCTAAATTCCAAGTATTAAAACAGATCAATGCACTGTTTCATTAAAAAAAGCCTGCCTGGCTGTAGTTGACCATTATTCATCACTATTATCAGTCAATGTCAGCAGACCGCTAGCAGTGAGTTTTTAAAAGTTTGAAAAAAAATAACATAACATTTCACAATATTTTAACATTTTTAACATTAACTTATAATAGTTTTAATTTATTTATAATATAGATATGTACATTTTAATTGTATGATACATAAAATATAGTAACAACCTTCAATAAATCTAAATGAAATGAAATAGGGTATAACGTCCTATTGTTCTGCTGACTGGGCTAATGAAGACGGGCATCTGCCATATAGTGTTCTTTGAGGGAAATTTTGCTCGGACAGCGGCACTAAGGCCTACTGTTATATCAAATTCCAACTGCCAAAGGATTAATTATATGCACGCCAGTGTGTACACAGGGCCTCAGTTTCTCATCCCATCCATACGACTATAGACAACTATCCTTGTCAGACTCTCCGTCCTGCACCACTGACAAGGGGAAACCACACCGGAAAATCCTGATGAACATTCTTGGCCCACACTGGGAGCGAAATCTGAATGACTTTGTTTCGGAGAGGTTAACTTGCGCAAAAAGTTTGTAATGTTTTATTTCATTACATTTAATATAAAAAACTTAAATCAAAAATAAATTTAGCACTGATTTTGATTTCAGATCCACTGTCTATCAAACCTCTCACATCACATGGTAAAGTTTTGTCTTTTCCAGCAGCAAAATGAATGATTTGCATCTGTGTGTAGATCTATCAGACAAGTGTCTTTGTATTGCTCGCCTCCTCGATGCGCTGTCTCTTAGGACTCGCGTTTCCATTACCAACGGCTGGTGGGGGTGTAACAGTGGGCTCACTTTGAACAAATTTCAAATAACCTGGTAAATTCTTTTCCACTAATTCTTCAAAAAATTTTCTCACAATCTGACCCGATTTACCAACTTCTGAACCAGGCTGAAATAAAAGAAATAGATATTTTTATGCCTATTATTTGTTAAGCAGACCAGGAAGTAACAATTTTAGTACCAGACATTTTGTATTCAATATAGCATTAAAACCACTGATAAAAGAGAAATCAGTGTCGTGTCTGTCAACTTGAGCATTAATTTGTATCAATGAATTCTATGACAGGTGCCTTATTTCCATGCTTGTTAAGAAATGAAATGAAATGGGGTTTAACATCCTACTGTTCTGCTCCAAACTGGGTTAATGAAGATGGGCATACGCCATATAGTGTGCTATGAGGGAAATTTTGCCAGGACAGCCGCACTATTGCCTACTCTTATATCGAATTCCAACTGTCAATAAATCTTTTACATCTACACGGGACCTTGTTTCTTTGTCCCATCCGAACGACTCAACAGCTGTCCTTGTCACTGGAATACAACTGACAAGTGCACAACTTTAAATACTTCTAGCCTTAATTTTTCTACATGGATGAAAATGCTACATCTCTCAATCTAGGCATTCCTTAAGCAGAAGTGAAGATATGAGGGGAACAACTCTGCTTAAAACTTACCGCATTGTATATGGCACAGTTGATAAAGACTTGTCTGACATCAGATAGGAAATTATACACAGAACTGTAATGGTTAAAATGCTGACGAGACAGTTTACATTTAATATTGGTGAAATCTTGTGGTTTTGTCACTATTTTGTGGTAATTCAAAACCTAAAATGAAACATAAATAATCAAAGTATAGTGCTATTCAGATCTAGAAAATATTTTCCATTTCATAAAATGAATACAGAGAGAGAGAGAAATGGGGTTTAACGTCCACTCGACACAAACTAGGTCATTTCGGGACTAACATAATATGGTTTAACTTTAATTCAATAATTCGCTTGCGCGTAGGGGTCTTTAGCAGTGGGAGGAAACCGGAGGACCCGGAGAAAATCCACGAGGTTGGACAGGCGACCCTACTCCTTGTCACGTACAACTGGGGATTCGAAACCACGCCAGTTGACTCAATGACAGGTCTTATGATACAGCACGCACATGCTAACCATTCGGCCATTCAACCCCCCAAAATGAATACAAGAATATGACACAATAAAATGTCATAGTGAATGATATAAAAGAAATGAAGTGGGGTTTAACATCCTACTTTTCTGCACCGACTGGGCTAACAATGAAGATGGGCTTACATCATACATTGTGCTATGGGTGTATTTTGCCCGGACAGCAGCAATGTGTACACAAGACCTGTTTACCATCCAATCTGAACGACTAGACAGGCCCTCAGAACTGCACCACTGACAAGGGGTAACCACATTTGAAAATCCTGAGGAACTTTCTAGGAGTGAACTTAGACCTGATTAGCGAGTCAGTGTCTTGCTCACCTGGTCACCCATCAAAGGTATAGGCCTTTGGAATTAGCAAAATACTCCATGGGTGAGGATATAACTTACATTTCTTCCTACTGGCTCATGGAAAGCGACACTTTGTTGATGACAGAATAGTTCTAGTAATATTTTCTCACATATCTACAAATAAAATGGAAACAATTAATTAATCTATTATTATCCACATAAAGATATTAGGCTACACAAAATAAATGTCTTGTTTCTCGGGCAACTGACAGCTGAAACTGTAGGGGGGGGGGGGCGGTTTATTTTTTTTTTATCTCATTTCTGGCTAGAGGATGGTGCAAAATAAAATTTGCCTATTGTTGAAAATTGTTGGGGCGGGAGGGCGGCCTTGTATTTTTTTTTTTTTTTTAATGAGAAAGTCATTACTTGTCTACGGTTTTGCTTTCAGTTATATATTATACATACTTAGAACATAAACCCAAATATCAAGTCTACTCAAACACTAACACTGACTGAAAGGAAAATAATTTTCCATATTTAATTCACGTAATGTAGCTTACTAATGGTAATGGTGACAACCATAATTGAAATTGGTTTAAAATAAAATTCCGTACGACTATTAATAGCCGTCCATAATAACGACAATATTTTAAAGAGTAAGCCTCTGTCAGCATGTGTATCAAAAATAATCATCACGGTAAACGACACTTCGATCTAAATCTAGTATCGCTGGTTTATAATGATTGACCTAATTCCAACCAATGCATGTCACGTGTCATCGGGATTCGTGAAATGACTGTTTCTCAAGATATTTGGTGTGTTTCTCAGCATATTCGGTGTTCTATCTGGGGTTTATATCGAATGACTATTTAAATTTAACTAACAACTCGTCAGTAAAACCATCAAATGTGTAATCCAATTATTATTTTCCGGATTATCAAAACTACCGTTAAACGTGCTAATGACCCAGATTCTGACTAAGGTATGGTGACTATCATCGTATCGTATTCGTAGCCACAAGTTATAATAATTAACCTGTTCTACGATTCATTGTTTTATAAGTAGGATTTTTTCAAACATGGACCGACTGAAGCCGGCAATAATGAGCCGATTAAGATCGAGTGATTGAAATACATTGCATTGTTGTCAATGACTTTCGGTGTTTAACACGAATCAAATTCTAGTTCACAAGGGGAGGTAATTAAAATCATGTGATACAAAAATGGAGGTTCTTTCGATATCAATAAAAAAGACCCGTAAATGAGCGTTTACATCTGAATCAGTTTAATACATTTGAATGGATATTCACGAATGGGGCATGTAGATACATGCGGCATATTTTTTTTATGACTTGCTTATCGATGTTCGGGCCGGCGTTACATATTTTTTATTATTCATCAAGACTAATAAATAGGCCGCACGCGCAACCAATTTTGCGTGCGGGCGGTGCCCGAGAAACAACTTATTTTATTTGTGTTGCCTTATTGTGTCACATCAATGGAGAATTCTATTTAATTAGAGTTGTCTCCCTTATGCTGAGTTGACACCACCTTATTTGCTGGTAAATATTTACTATGGCAAGCTGCGCAATTTGCCGAGCAAATATCAAGTCTAGACCCTGAACCCTGAAGTTACAATTGTAAACTTCAATCCAGATCAAATTGAGAAATCTGATCAGATGTCGAACTCTTTAACAAAAGGTTGACAGTGCAAACTCGACCCTGAATTCATTTACATTGGGAAAAATGTCACTTCGGTAATTTTCAAGATCAAAAAATCGATTTCCGCACATTTTAACTTAGTATGGTTTATTCAATAGTGTTCAGAAATTTCGGGCAAAAAAAATTTTTTTTTGAGAAACTATACATGTAATAATTACCTTTAATTCTCTGTCTGTCAAACCAAGTGGAGCTTTACGTTTAGAGCCCGGATTAATATTTTCATCTGACTCCTCTTCCGGAACCTTTTCTGTCGCCTCACACAACAAACAAACAAATACACCCCTGAAATTGTTTGCATTTATTCATGAAAAAGAAACCCAAACAGGCAGAAGTTGGAATGTAATAGTATTTGAAGAGTCAATCTTATGCCCCATAAAGAATGAGGCCAAAAAATCCAGTCAATTTAGTCAGTCCAATATGGATCAATTCTTAAATAAAAGATTTAAGACTTCTCCATCAGACCTGTCATTAATGATAACTGCAAGACACCTCGTTTTGCCTTCTACTCATTACATTTACTGACCTAGTTTGTCAATGTTGCAGTAAATTTTCATTCCAATTTGAAAATTTGGAAAATATCTTGCAAAGGATTTTAGGACAGTCAGATATTTGAAGCTTTGCTCAAATGATGTCAAATTTTTAGGCCCAATTTACCCCAGTAATTCTAGACTAATCAACTTACGGTGGTACACATTGAAGTGGTGGGATATGACAGTGTAGATGGAACACCCTTGGACACTTCTCACAACACAATACATCTCCCCCATTATGACAGCACGCACAATAATCTTCATTCGGATCAGACTGACTAGATTCCTGGGATGCCTTTTCATCCGACTCACTTGATCTTTGTTCTATGGTTTTTTGTGCTATGGCTGGTATTTCTGCTGTGGTTGTTGTTTCTGTCGTGTTTGTGTTTGTTGTTTCTGCCGTGTTTGTTGTTTCTGCTGTGGTTGTTGTTTCAACTGGTTTTTCTACAACTTCCGGTACCTCACTAGGTTTCTCTGATGTACTATTTTCTTCAACTGGTGTTGGGGGAGCTGGTTTTGGAGATGTAACCAGAACTTCTGGTGCTGGAATGTTCTCTTGTTTAATGATATCCTCCTTTGTTTCTGTAAGTTCTATGGGCATGTTTTTCAGGACATCTGATAAAACGTTGTCAGCCTCTACATCATCTATTAAGTTAATGGTGTTAGTTTCATCACCAACGATCTATAAAAATAATGAATGGGGATTAACTTTATACTTTTTTTGCACCAAACTAGCTAATACAGTATGCTTTGGGGGAAATTTTGCCAAAACAGCTGTTTATTTTATGTTCACGCCAACAAGTACACTACTGCTGGAGGATCTCAAATTTCCATCCCATCCTAACAACTACATGCTTTTCCCTTCCTTAGGAAAGCAACAGAAGACAACTTCAGATATTATGACATAATTCTTTGATATGACCAATAAAATTTGATTCAAGATACTTACCAACCCAGCGCTGTCCTCGAGTTTTTGCCCTTTGATTTTAGCAGCAGTAATAATACAGTCATAAAAATCATCATCAGTTGACTCAACATTACTGAAAAATTAATGAAATATTATATTACACACAATAATTAGAAAGAGGTTATCTGTAAGCCCAGTAGAGAGTTAGGGTTGGAGATACATAACTCTGGCAGTAATTATTGGAAATGGATGAAAAGTCGTCTCCTGACCTTAAACGGTATGTAAAAATTCAAAGTCAATCAGATAGCAACTTTAGCCTCTAGAGCGTTCACAAGATATTTCAAAGTGATCAAGGGCCATAACTTTGACAGTAATTATCGGAAATTGTTGAAAATGACTAGGATCCTTCGTCTCATGACCTTAAACACTGTGTATAAATTTAAAGTTATTCGGATATTAACTTTAGCCTCTAGAGCGGGGGCGAGGACAATATATACGGACACATTTCAATGCAGGCATATAAATACGTGGTTACTAGGTAATCCTTACAGGTAAACACTGAAGTTAAGAATAACGCTGTCCTACTAATTAAACTTGACTCTATAAAATATAACCCTGAAATGTTTTCACTAAGATAACTTAAAATTCCTTCTATCAAAAGGATGTTTAATACCGGGGCCCTTATTCACGAAAAACTTTAACTAAGATACAATCGAAATTTTAAGAAATACTGCAATTCGATTGGCTGACCAATATGCAAATTGGATATATGCAAATTGATTTTACTAGTCAGCCAATCGAATTGCAATATTTCTTAAAATTTCGATTGTATCTTAGTTTAAGTTTTCGTGAATAAGGGCCCCGGTATGTAACAAAATGAAAACGTATTATCAATACATGTATTTTGTATTTGATAATCAAGAATTTAAACTTTTCAAAACATTGTAGGTTTTCTTTTGACACAATTTTATAAATTCATGTAGAATTATTTTCTGTACACTGTATAGTTTTGAAGTAATACAAAGAATGATGTGTCATAAAATTGAATTCATTTATTGATGTTTTTATATAAATTATTTTATCTTACCCATTATGACCCGGTGATGTGGAATGCCTGCGATTATTACCCATGCTTCCTACTTCCGTCGACCTAGGTGAATTACCTTAAATAATAAAATAAAATCAATTAAGGGATCATTAATAATACAATTACATAAATTTCAAATATTGATTTTACAATGTTTAAACATACATTATGTAAGAGCTAAATCTGCCTATTGTAGGTCTCTCTTTAGGCCTGAAATGTTATCTAAATCATTAATTCGGTTCATAGTGGATCAATTTGACTGAAATTTTCAGTAAATTCCCTTTACAGTATCTAGTTTTTAACTATTATAGTGAGAACTGCCAGCTCTTTATCTGATCTCCCATAATGTATCTTTAATAAATCAAAGTTACTGATCATTTAATGATTATATATGTAAAAGATATCCATGAGCAATATCCCAATAAACAGGATGTATTAGTTTACCTGATGATCGATTTCCGCCCCATCCCATTCCCATCTGTTGATGCGTTGCTATGTTACTGGTAACAGGTCTGGTGTTTAACTTCATTGGCTGAAACTGTTGCTGATTTTGGTTACTATGCTGTTGTTGACGACTGACTTGCTGTTGTAAAAAAAAGGCCTGGTTGACCATTTGACCACCTGATGTCTGTGTGTTATGGGGTGGCTGTTGACCACGATGACTGTTGCTGTTCTGCCAATTAAAGGGCAGATTGCCACCTTGCGGATTATTTCTCAAGATATTTGGTTGGTTGGGTTGTTGGTTGACCGGTCGCTGTTGAGCATGAGACTGTAAAACTGACATTCTATTCTGGTATTGATGTTGTTGCTGCTGCTGCTGCTGTTGCTGCTGTTTTGCATGTGCTGCCCGTTGCATTGCGAATGCCATCATTCTACGTTGGTCCTCAGATGCAGGATTCACATTGGCTGCGCCATTTTGTGTCACACCGGGTATTGGGGGCTGTTGACCCTGTTGATATTTTGGCGGAGGATATCGCAAACCATTGACAAATATTGTACCTAGTTTATGAATATTTTGAAAAAAAAATGGTGATTCATGTCTATATTCTAAATTTAACTGTCCTTTAAGAGAATAAAGTTCTAAATTAGCTTGCGACAAAGTTGCAGCTTGTTTAAGAATTAATTTCTTTGTATACAGTAGACTGAGATCATTTTTCTCATTTTTTAAGTTGCGGAGGAAAGATGACATGTGTTCAATTTTCTGTAACATTGCGCTGGCGTCTGCGCCTTCTTGTGCAAGACGTTTTCCAGCCGCATCACAAACAAAGTTTAGATTCTGTAATATCTGTTTTGCGTATTCAATCACGTGCTCAACCAGTTTTCTAGCCTGCGACTGAACTTCATCTCTTACTACGTCTTTCTGGGATTTCACATAGATTAATTTTTCTTGTATTTTCGACGCTGACAGTTTTAGTGTTTCTTTTTTAGCTTGAAGATGAGCAGCAAATTTTTCTGTTTGTTCTTTGTAAATTTCTGCAGCTTGCGGAAGAAACTGATACCGATGTTCCTTATGTTCTAGTAACTGACAATCACGACAGGTCAGCATGTCGCAAACTTCGCAGAAAAAGTTAAGTTTCTCGTGTTTATGCAACTTGCAGAATGTCGCTGCTTCATTCATGGTACCGTCTGTAGCATTTTTGTTATTTTTGCCTGTGATGGTATGATCTTTAGTAATTTTAACACGTTTGTGAGCAAAAACACACTGATCACATAACCACTCCTCGCAGTCTTCACAATGTGATGTGGCCTCGATGGCATCTTCACAACCGGTACATGTATGCTTTTCAACTTCTTCTATTATTATAGGTGTATCCGAAGATCTTCTAGTCAACAGATTTTCTACTAGATCAGCAATTTGATATTTTTCCTTACAGTCTGTACAGGTTACATCATCTAAAACAAAACAAACATCAGACAATTAAAGAAACAGCAATTTTAAAGACACTTTCAACATTTGAGTAAAAACAAGTGGGTTGTTTGAAAGACTGAAATGAAATGAAATGGGGTTTAACGTCCTACTGTTCTGCTCCTATACTGGGCTAATGAAGACGGGCATACGCCATACAGTGTGCTATGAGGGAAATTTTGCCCGGGCAGCGGCCCTATCGCCTACTCTTATATCAAATTCCAACTGCCAAGGGATCTTTTACGTGCATTCCAATGTATACACGGGACCTCGGTTTTTTGTATCATTCGGAGGACTAGACAGCTGTCCTTGTCAGGCCCTCCATCCTGCATCACTGACAAGGGGGAACCACGCCGGAAAATCTGGATGAACTTTCTCGGTCAATGCAGGAGTCGAACACCCGACCTCCAGGCTAGCGAGCCAGCGTCTTACCCACTTAGCTGTTTGAAAGACACCAAAGCTAGAAAATGATTTAAATTAAATGTGGTCCGGTGGTCGCTGGTTCAATCCTTGTGTGGGTCGAGAAAATTTATCAGGATTTTCCGGCGTATTTTCCAGAACGGAGGACCTGGCAATGACAGCTGTCTAGTTGTTGGGATGGGGTAGAAAAGCAAGATCATGTGTACACACTGGCATTAATGTAAAAGATCCCTTGGCAGTTGGAATTTGATATAAGAGTAGGCCATAGTGCCGCTGCCCTGGCAAAATTTCCCTCATACTCATCGCACACTGTATGGCATACGCCTGTCTTAATTAGCCCAGTCAGAGCATAACAGTTGGACGTTAAATCACATTGTACATTTCATTTCTTACTCTGTCGATGCGGATGGGCATTCATTTAGCCACAAGTGTTGAAATTTTGCAACGGTCCCTTGGTTAGCGTATAACAATTATTTCAGCTTTAACAGCATGTTAATTTGACAGAATGTTCATTTAGAAAACTTGCGAACTTCAAATATGACATTATTTTATCGAATTATAAGATTGTTCGAGAAAATGATTTCACTCTTCTTACGTGTTTATATACATCACATCGATCGACATCACAGATAGCTTAATTTATTATGGATTTCTCAATCTTGCATCACAGTCAGAATGTTCAATGACTGTAAGATAAGATTTATTGTATCTAAACACCCCATTAGAGGTAGGAGTTAACAGCAGTTTGATATAATTTGAGAGGGGAGACAAGGGGGTGGCAGACTATATCTGCAATGCCAATAGACTTACTTATAAATTATAAGTAATTCTGTAATAATAATACTTTATTTCAAAAGGGTTGAAAAAACTTTCTTACATTTTACCCTTGAAATATACACAAGAGTTAATTTTAAACCTAATATTGGATGAAAAAGGAAGTTTTCCTTTTTTAAAGTATGGATTAGTAAAACATTATGTAAACTGTTTAGTATGTGCAACACACATGTAACATGCTGCATAATATTTCATGAATGCCACTCAACAAACTTTTATTGATCTACAGAGTACAGTACAATAAGTCTATTGTTGTTAATAATATTTAATAAGCTGATCAAACGGTTAAAAAGTTTGTTATCAAGTTTGGCATCGGTGTAATACATTTAATATTAATAATAATGTATTAATTCACTTTGCTATGTCTTGGTATTTAATTAAGGGATATCAGTGTTTCGATTTTTTTAATTTTTTTTTGTAAAATTGTAACCATTTAATTATTAATTATGTTTGTACTGAAATTGATAGTCTCCGTATTTTGGGGTGTAGGCTATTTGTTTTTACTCAATAAGTCAATATAAGAAGTCGGTTACGTTTCAGTTTAATACAACCAGTCATAATATCATACATTGCGCATCGTGATGTCTCGCCTGCCCCAGCCTGTCACATCGACCTGCACAGTGCAGGCAAGTCGACTGGCGACATGTTGAATGCTCGGTAAATCTGCACAAGGCCCCGCGTACCATACCAATTATTTATTAAACAATAGCACATAGCCCCAACAACAATATATAGGTCTACATTAAATTAATTATTTATAAATGCAAAGTACAAGCCCGAATGAAAAGAGTTAAGAAAAATCACAAACCTGCCAAGTTTACTATTGATACCGGCGACTTACCCCCTTCTCCGCTATTCACAGTGTCGCCGTTATTTACTTTTATACATGATTCACAAACTGAGTGAATACATGGCATTAAGTATGCATTTCTTTCAACTAAACTGTTTTTGCATAAAATACAACAGTTGTAAGTATCTGCATCCATTTTTGGAAAAGTCTGATTGATCGATCCCAGGCAATCAACACAAACAAAAGACTGCACCCATTATCTCGCATCAAGTTCCAAGTTAAAAGTGTTGAGCGAGAATTTTTCTCCACTTTGTCACGACTGAACTTTGACCCTGTAAAGTGAAAGAGCCAACTAAATCGATGTAAAATAACTACCACAATGAATGCCGCGCGATAAATGCAGCAATACAGTCTCACCCAGTCACAGCGAGCCCATAATAAAACGTGGGATACTTAAAATTCTCGAGATTATTGATTCTGGCACAGAGCCAAGAACTGCAAACAAAGACACGAGGAAAACGAGCTCCAACGTGACCAGCCAGAACTAGATAAACTGGATAGGACTGGTTTCAACTGGAAATATACAACCAGCTTTGAATTGTTTTATGAGATGAAATGACTGGATATGTCAAGTAGAGACAAGTTCTAGACATTCAGCTCGAGATGATTCATTTCACATGACATCTTATCAAATGCCATTGATTCACACGCAGATAAGCAGCTGTGGGCTGATTAATGCCAGGTAGTTTTTATAATGCCCCCGCTAAATGTATTATATAGACCATAACATTATAAAAACAACTTGGCATTTTGCCAGCTTATTTGTTTTGTCTATTGTAAATTATGCCCAGGCGTACAATATCAAGCATGTGCCTTTTATGCCTTTATTATTAGCCTACTAATATTATTAGCCCACTTATAATAAATCAGCGGGCGTGTGTATGTCGATCTCACGCGTTCCATTTACTTTTTGCACTAGATTTAGGTAGGCTACACCAAGATCAATTGGAATAGGAAACTGTGACACCCCACCCATTAACCCAACACTCCATTTGGACTTCGACAAAGTTCTTCGCCATTTTACGAACATCGACAGGGATGTATAATGAACAAAAAACAATATAGCCGGGCTGATAAAAGGACGCCAGGCAGACGTGATGACACAATTCTAGTGGCTGATGATTTTTAGGGAATTTATAATTTCCGGTTTGGTCTATATGTTGAATGAAAACAGAATTCAAAATAATCGACTTAAAAAAAACAAAAAAACATATTATCTCTTATCATGGTTAACATAATTCCTATAGAAACTAACTGAATGACTCATGCTAAGGAAATCAATGAGACAGACGACGTCATTACGCAACAATGAGCGCATTTATCATATCAGAGGGCAGGGAGGGGGACGGGTGCTCGTGGCAAACCAATGAATCTGCTACCCCCACCCCCCAAAAAAGGACACCCATTTCGAAATGATCTTTAGTGGACGTCAGCACCAAGTTCTGAGCCAAACATGATATCTATCGATAAAGACTTGCCTAGACCTATTTTAAAATAAATGTTCGTGGGACTATATATTATATGTATTTTACAAGATGGCCTACATGTACAATATTTAACTAGGCCTATTTGATTAGTCCATGAAGTCAGTTCAAAGTGTCTGATTCATTCCCTGACATGAGAACAGTCAGGTATTTTGGACCATCCAGATACTAGAACTAAGAATAATTGGAATGGTTACGAATGTATCATTTTTCTCGGATGTATGTGTTTTCGCCTAATCTTCTTGGAATTCCAACTGCCTTGTGGTTGTTTTTGTGTATGCAAATCGAAGGCTACACGTCGTCGTGTGGACCTCGGTGTTTCGTATCAGTCTGAACGACTGTAGGCACACTTGTCTTGTATGAAAACAGGGTTTACCTCACGACCAACCACCACAGCAAATTTTGCGTTTTAACAAGCAGATAAAACAGTTGTTACTCCCCTACAAACATACCCTAAAGCAAGATGGGCTTCGCTTGGTCAGCCAAAAATGTGGTCAGAAAACCACTCAGTTTTATTCACTATTGATTTAATGGCGATCCCTACTCCGCAATCCCATGTTACGAATTTTCAACACCCACGCGAAAGATTCGGCAATCCCAGCCCCCTCCATCTTTTTATTTTGTTTCTGGTCAAAGTCAATGCTTCATCTGAATAGGCATGGTTTTGGACCCCCAAGATGAACAGTGTCAATACTCTAATGCTAATAATTAAAGTTCCGAAATTACAAACACGCCTTAAAGTCGGGTGTTTATGGTGTTCTGTACAGATGTTTACAAACACCACAAGTTATAGGAAGAAAACTAATCAAACTACAAAATTCCCGTTCGTTCTCTTCTCCACACTCAGCAATACGCAATTTATTGTCCCAGTAGTCCGGGGATCACGTGGCTAAGTGGGTAAGACGCTGGCTCGCTAATCTGGAGGTCGGGTGTTCGGTCCCTGCATTGGCCGAGAAAGTTCATCCAGTTTTTCCGGCGTGGTTCCCCCTTGTCAGTGATACAGGACGGAGGGCCTGACAAGGGCAACTGTCTAGTCCTTCGGATGAGACGAAAAACCGAGGTCCCGTGTATACATTGGAATGCACGTAAAAGATCCCTTGGCAGTTGGAATTCGATATAAGAGTAGGCGATAGTGCCGCTGCCCGGGCCAAATTTCCCTCATAGCACACTGTATGGCGTATGCCCGTCTTCGTTAGCCCAGCTTAGGAGCAGAACAGTAGGACGTTAAACCCCATTTCATTTCATTACATTGTCCCAGTAGTCCGGACTCACATGGGCTCGACTGAAGTCGCATTATAAATATATGTATACTTGGTTTACTGGTTTCATTTACTTATTATTATAATGATTAAGAATTTATTTGTCGGCAAAACTACATACCGGAAAACACCGGAAAACTACCGGAAAACACCATGTTATACTGATTACCGGAAAAACACTAAATACCTGAAAACACACTAAATACCGGAAACACACTAAATGCCGGAAAACTCCTTAAATAGGTAACCCGGAACTCTGTGTGGGTTAGGGTTAGGTTTTTCCAGTATTTTCCAGAGGACCAGGCTAGGGTTAGGGTTAAACTCACCTCTTTTTTATTTTGAAATGAAATGAAATGGGGTTTAACGTCCTACTGTTCTGCTCCTATACTGGGCTAATGAAGACGGGCATACGCCATACAGTGTGCTATGAGGGAAATTTTGCCCGGGCAGCGGCACTATCGCTTACTCTTATATCGAATTCCAACTGCCAAGGGATCTTTTACGTGCATTCCAATGTTTACACGGGACCTCGGTTTTTCGTCTCATCCGAAGGACTAGGCAGCTGTCCTTGTCAGACCCTCCGTCCTGCATCACTGACAAGGGGAAACCACGTCGGAAAATCGGGATGAACTTTCTTGGCCAATGCAGGGATCGAACACCCGACCTCCAGGCTAGCGATCCAGCGCCTTACCCACCTAGCCACCGTGGCTCCCTTTTTATTTGGTGTTATATATTTTATTTACATTTTGTAATCATCATTATTGTTATTTGGCCTACAATATATTTTTTATACTCATCATTATTATTTGGCCGACAATATCCCGCCAAACAACAACTTTATATTGTGCTGAAAGTGGCGCAGCTCCGAAATAATCATTAGGCGAAATAAACACGTGGTTGGGACATCCAAGGAAGGGGCCACCACACAGGTTTTTCAAAGTGCCATTGGTCTGAAAATCATGAAAGAAAGCAATTGTAATTTCGGCATACGTGCATGTATATAAGTTGTGTTTCACTTTGAAACAATGTTGCTTTTATTTTTAAATTTTATACATGTATGGAACCTTCTATATCAGGGATGTCAAACATGCGGCCCGCTGGCCAAATCTGGCCCGCCAAGGGTTTAATTGTGGCCCGAGGATCAAATTTCAATAAACTGACGTGTCGATAATTTTAAGAAACTAGCGATGGAAATCATTTATTATTGTTTCCGGTTCCAAAACTCTGATTTCTGTACTGTATGCCATAGATGCCTAAGTTGTATGTAATTCAACTAAACGTCGTGATGAATATCTTGGCAATTTACATTGGAAACCAGTCTAAACAAAATGACCTATGTCAATTAGGACGTTTGGATTTTTTTTTTTTTTTTTTTTAGAATTCAGTAAAGTTCAAGAACGTTTGGCTTTATTTTTTTGTATATCTCCAGCCCACTTGATGTAAATTAATATAGTTAATGTGCGGCCCCCGAATCGAAATGAGTTTGACACCCCTGATCTACAGTTCCAATACTAGGGTCGAGCCCCTCAATCTATATGTTTCCAGAGCTTGTAAGGTTTTAATCCAGCTCTAAAAGTGGGTTATGTGCAAAAATGCCAGCTTTCGAAGCTGCACCACCCTGGATTTAGAATCAAGATTTATGTAGGCGAGTGTGTGTTGATCAGTGACGATTAGGACGTTTTACATGAACTGAAAAATTACATACAAGTTAATTCTTAACTCACCAGATTTCGGAGAATGTAAACATTTGTTTTGGGCGTGTGTTTTTTTTTTTGGTTTTTTTTATTATTACACGCTTTCATTTTAAATGGACCTTTCATTCATTTAATTTAAAATAACGTTTTTTATTCAACATCCATATGCACAAATAAGCCTAAGTGATACCGCCGACAGATTTTGATGGCTCGTTAATTGATGAAGTTATAAATCAATCATGTAAATATCCATAATTTTGAGCGTGAAATAACTTTATTTAACGCGTGTTAATTAACATCCAGTTCCGCAGTGAAGTTATAGCGCAGAAAATGATACAGTTTGTGTGAAGTAGGCTAACTTTATTTAAAGGAGCTAAATCTCTACTCCTTGGCACCTTAGAAATGGATACAAATGGGTCGCAACGCATATAATTACATGTACTATGAATGTATATAATACTATATAAACTGATTAACATTCATACGTGTCTGTTTTTACTGTAATTCTAATCAGTTTTGTTCGGCAAAATGGGCGACAAATCCAAATTGAATGGCAGTCTTTGGCGTCTGGTTATTCCAGTCTACACCGGTAGTATTCTCCTGTACAATTTGCAAGCTCGAAGACTGTGGATAATATTGGGTCAGAGACATGCCTTTTTTAACGCCAACTTTCACAATGAAGTTATGAAAATATCTTTATTTAAAGTAGCTAAGTCTCTAACTCAATATCATCAAAAATCTTCGACATTGAAAACACGAATTATTTGTCAATGCAAATCAACATTGGTCTCCTGATCTTACAGGGAAAAGATGGGCTTCTGATATCCAATATTCAAGACAAAATAAACAGTTTACCATTGGTACACGAATCGTGTACCATAATGCGTTTCAGCGCCATTTGGAACAAGGGACTCAAAGAACGCGGCTAGACATATCCCACAAGTC